CCTGACTTCATGATCCGCCTGCCTTGGCCTCCAAAGTGCTGAGATTACAGCCATGAGCCACCATGCCCGGCATATTTTTGTATTTTTAGTAGAGGCAGAGTTTTGCCTTGTTGGTCAGGCTGGTCTCGAACTCCTGACCTCAGGTGATCCTCCCAAAGTGCCAAGTTTACAGGCATGAGCCACCATGCCCAGGCCCCCCACCCTTTTTTTTTGACATGGAGTCCCGCCCTGTTGCCCAGGCTGGAGAACAGTGGTGTGATCTCAGCTCACGGCAACCTCCACCGCCCAGGTTCAAGCTATTCTGCCTGAGCCTCCAAGTAGCTGGGACTACAGGCACGTGCCACCACACCTGGCTAATTTTGTTTTGTTTTGTTTTGTTTTGTATTTTTAGTAGAGTGGGTTTCACCATTGTTGTCCAGGCTGATCTTGAACTCCTGGCCTCAAGTGATCCTCCCACCTCGGCCTCCCGAAGTCCTGGGATTACAGGTGTGAGTGCCCAGCCTGGGAGGCTCTATCTAAAAACAAGCAAACACAAACAAACAAAAAGCAGGCATCTAGAAAGACTTTCAGCAGCCAGTGCAGCAGGCTTCGTTTTTCCATTTCTGAAAACAGCCCTGCCAGCCACCCAGTGACGGAAACCAGAAGCCGCAGAACCATATTCCACCTGTTTCTCTCATCCTCTCACCTCCCCTCTACACAGTGCCCTCCTCCTGACTCTTCACCCTCTGCCTGCACACTTCACCGCCTCCTGCGGGCTCTTCCTTCACCCACTTCTCCAGTCCCTCTCCATCTTGATGCTAGAGGGAGCTCCTAAAAACACACATGCAATGCTACCCCCTTCAAAAATCCTTTGATGGGCCGGACACGGTGGCTCATGCCTGTAATCCCAGCACTCTGTGAGGCCGAGGCGGGCAGATCACCTAAGGTCGGGAGTTCAAGACCAGCCTGACCAACATGATGAAACCCTGTCTTTAAAAAAAAAAAAAAAAAATCCTTTGAGGGCATCTCATTTCTGTTAGAATAAAGAAATATGGCCGGGTGAGGTGGCTCACGCCTGTAGTCCCAGCACTTTGGGAAGCTGAGGTGGGCGGATCACGTGGTCAGGATTTCGAGACCAGTGTGACCTACATGGTGGAACTCCCTCTCTACTAAAGATACAAAAATTAGCTGGGTGTGGTGGCGCCTGCCTGTAATCCTAGCTACTCAGGAGACTGAGGCAGGAGAAGCACTTGAACTCGGAAGGTGGAGGTTGCAGTGAGCCGAGATAAGCACTCCAGCCTGGGCGACAGAGCAAGATTCCATCTAAAAAAAAAAAAGAGCCAGGCGCGGTGGCTCATGCCTGTAATCCTAGCACTTTGGGAGGCTGAGGTGGGTGGATCACCTGAGGTCAGGGGTTCAAGACCAGCCTGGCCATCATGGTGAAACCCCATCTTAAAAAAAAAGAAAAAATAAAGAAAAATAAAAAAGAAGCCAGTCGTGGTGGCTCACACCTGTAATCCCAACACTTTGGGAGGCCCAGGCGGGGGGGCACGAGGTCGAGAGATCGAGACCATCCTGGCCAACATGGTGAAACCCCGTCTCTACTAAAACACAAAAATTAGCTGGGCATAGTGGTGCGTGCCTGTAGTCCCAGCTACTTGAGAGGCTGAGGCAGGAGAATTGCTTGAACCCAGGAGGCGGAGGTTGCAGTGAGCCAAGATCAAGCCACTGCACTCTAGCCTGGCGCCTAGCGACAGAGCGAGACTCTGTCTCAAAAAAAAGAAATACTTGTGTGGCCTTCAGGTTCTGCAGGACCAGGCCCCGCCCACCCATCCAGCCTCCCTTCAGTCAAGCCTTCAATGCTTTGCGGCCTCCGGGCTTTGACCCTGTGGCTTCCGCTGCCCAGAGCGCCTTCCCGTCTGCTTTTAGTCCTGTACACACCTCCTCTCCTGACGCCTCTGCCCACGCCCAGTCTACGTGAAGCCTGCTTTAATATCCTCTCCCTCTTCCCCTTTTTCTTTTAGCACTTACCACAATATGCAATTACGTATTTATCAGTACACTTATTTTTAAATTATCTTTCCTCACTAAAGATCTGTTTTCCCCAACAAGCCCCGTGAAGGGGGAGAGCTTGTCTGTTTGATTCATTTCTGTGTTCTGAGTACCTAGCAGGGTGCCCAGCTCCTAGGAAGCTCTCAGGAAACAATATTAGACAAATACATGAAAAAGCCCCTCACCTCCCCCGTCCCATACTCGAGTGGGGACTCACTTGCCCAAGGACTCTGAACACTGTCTCCCTACTCCCCGACCTTGGCCCCTGCCCTCAGCCATAGCACAGGGCTTCTCATGGTGCAGGAGCGGGAGGCCCTGGCCCCAGGGCACCTTGGTCTTGCAGGGAAAGGAGGCTCATAGGCTATGAAGCGTGACCACTGACTGTCAGCACTGATGGAGGGAGAGGCCGCTTCAGGCTACACAAGGAGCTAAGCGTTGGTAAAGCGCTGGGTGCCAATGGGCAGAGAGGGCGGCAAGGTGTGCCGTGGATCCTTCTCAGAGGAGCACATATGGTAAGGGGTAGGGGCATGGCTTAAAGGATCTCTAATACTGCTTTGGATTTTATTCTGGGCAGAAGGAAGGGCTGCAGCTAAGGTGAGGGTTTTTTTGTTGTTGTTTGTTTTTTAGACAGAGACTTGCTCTGTTGCCCAGGCTGAAGTGCAGTAGCATGATCTCAGCTCACTGCAACCTCCGCCTCCTGGGTTCAAGCAATTCTCCTGCCTCAGCCTCCCGAGTAGCTGGGATTACAAGCACGCGCCATCATGCCCGGCTAATTTTTACATTTTTAGTAGAGACAAGATTTCACCATGTTGGTCAGTCTGGTCTTGAACTCCTGACTTCAGGTGATTCACCCGCCTCGGCCTTCCAAAGTGCTGGGATTACAGGCATAAGCCACTGCACCCAGTCTATTTTGTTGTTTTTTTAAGCAGGGCATTGACATGATAAAAATTTTGTTTTAGAGGAATCTCCTGGCCAGGCACCGTGGCTCATGCCTATAATCCCAGCACTTTGGGAGGCCGAAGCAGGCAGATCATGAGGTCAGGTGTTTGAGACCAGCCTGGCCAATAGGGTGAAACCTCGTCGCTACTAAAAATACAAAAATTAGCCGGGCGTGGTGTCGCATGCCTGTAGTCCCAGCTACTCGGGAGGCTGAAGCAGAAGAATTGCTTGAACCCAGAAGGTGGAGGTTGCAATGAGCCGAGATCACACCAGTGCACTCCAGCCTGGAAAACAGAGAGAGACTCTGTAAAAAAACAAGAAAAAGAAGAAGAAGACGAATCCCCTGGCAGAATTGTAGAGGGTGGATCAGAGACAGGACCATCACTTTCTGAGGGCTTCCTGTGGCTTAAGTGCTATGTGCTGAATGCGACTTATTTTACTTAACTCTTGTGAGGTGTTGTTTATAATTGCTATAATACGGATTAGCAACCTGAGACTTATGGTGACCCTCTTCATTGGAAAACTGTCCCTTCCCATTCCTTAGGATTGAGGGATTGTCACTGTGCCCCACCTGTGCTGACAGCAGCTAGTCCAAGGGACGGTCATGTGAGCGAAGCAGAACAGAGTTGAGTCTCGGAATGCTGACGATAGGGACCCTGGGCTTCTCTTCTTGTTTTTCTTTTGGCAGCCACCGTTTGGTAGTGGCCATGACGGGGGTCCCAGGAAGTCTCTCTTCTTTTTGGGTTTCAAACTGTAACTATGTAAGCTTGGGGCATCTGAAGCCAATTTCCCATGACTTGGAGAAAACTGTGTGACAGAATTGAATGTGGCTGATGCACCAAAGAAACAGATGAGGCTGGGCACGGTGGCTCACGCCTGTAATCCCAGCACTTTGGGCAGCAGAGGAGGGTGGATCACCTGAGGTCAGAAGTTCGAGACCAGCCTGGCCAGCATGGCAAAACCCTGTCTCTACTAAAAGTACAAAAGGTTGGGTGTGGTGGTTCATGCCTGTGATCCCAGCTACTCTGGAGGCTGAGGCAGGAGAATCATTTGAACCTTGGAGGTGGAAGTTGCAGTGAGCCGAGATTGCACCACTGAACTCCAGCCTAGTAGACAGTGTGAGAATCTGTCTCAAAAACAAACAAAAAAGAACCCTAAGATTCAGAGAAACCAAGTAACTTGCCTGAAGTCACAGACCCCGTGAAGAACCAGGGCTCAAGTCCATCTTACTCCAACACCTGTGCTAGTCTCACTGTCATGTCCTGTTGGTAGACAGACCTGGACTATGTTCACCCATAAAACCAGGTGAACAAGAAGGCCTGGTCTAGGGTAGCGGCCTGGGGAACGAGGGGAGAGTTTGAGAGAGATCATGATGGAATTTGGGAAGACTTGGTATAGACCTGGGTGTGAAGGCTCAGGGAGGGAGTTGGGGGAGGATCCGAGGGGCCTGGAAGATTTAGGAGCCAGGGGCAGAGCACATGTGGGAGATTCAGGCAGGGAGGAAGGATGGTAGCAGAGATGGGCTTGTCTCAGACATAAGGCAGGATGAGACCTCTCACCCAGAGGCCCAGGCAGCTGCAAGGCCAGCTTGTGGGTGTTGATGAGCTAATCTGGAAACATGTGGGAGACCAAGGCCAGGCCTGAGGTCACCCATGGGGTGAAGTTGGAGGAGGAGGAGGTAACCGTGTCACCACGATGGTAAGCATGGGAGGAGGAGGTGGGAGTCAGCTCCTCAGAGCCCAGTGCTCCAGCTGAGAGGTCAGGAGGAGGAGGCCCTGGTGACCCTGGAAGCCAGAGCAGGACTCCAAGGAGGGACCTTGGAGGAGGGAACGTGAAGGTGATGCTTATGGATTCAGCAGTAAATCAAGGGATGGTGATTAGAAGCGTGACCAGAGGGACTGTTCCCTCCTGTTGTGTAACTCAGTCCCACGCTGCGGAAATACAAGTCTTTCCCACACTACATTTCAGAGGCAAGGTTGAACTCAGCTGACTTATACACCCGCTGCCCAATGAACCAGAGACAGGATTTGTTTTTTTTAAAACATTTTAATAAAATTAACAAATAAATATTCTAAACTGTATAGGCTACAGGGACAAAGGGTAAAAGCCAGAGGGGCCAGTCTATCCTGCTTAGGCCCTCGGGTCCCCTTTAGAGAGACCCTGCTCTGGGGGCTGGTTTGGGGCTGGGACTGCTGACTTGGGGAGGCGGGGAGTGAACCCGGAATGGGTGATCTGGACTCTTGCAAGCCTTCCCTCTTTGTTGGTGTAGGGGAGGGGAGAAGAGGTCAAAGAAAGCAAGATCCTACAAGAGGCATCCCAGTGACCCTTGGAAGTGACTGGGGTAAGGGGAGCGCTATCCTAGAAGGAGGGAGTGTAGGGGAGGGGGCGGTGAAGCAGGGCGGTGAGCATGGCCGGTGGGGGGCAGTGGCCGCTCTTCTATGCACGATCACTCACTCTCGGACGTAGACCCTGGTGCACACAACATCATCCGCCGTCATGGTCTGGAAGAACAGAAGTAGTTGTTAGCCGGAGAGACCCCTGGGGTCCTGTGGCTTTGGAGGGTTGAATGGAGGTAACTGCTCGGCCTCCAGGTTCAAACCTGCTCCTTGGCTTAAGACCAGTAGGCAGAAGCTGGTCCCAGAATGCCCAGGCATCACTGGAGGGAGGATGGCAATAGTGCCCCCTGGCCCGTCCTCCTCCTCAAGCCAGGAAGATCTCCCTGGAGAACTGCTAGGGCCCCTCAGTATCTGCCCTTTGCTTTGCGTAAAAGGAACACTCAACACTCTTTCTCTTTCTTTCGTTCGTTCGACAGAGTTTTGCTCTGTCGCCCAGGCTGGAGTGCAGTGGTGCGATCTCAGCTCACTGCAACCTCCACATCCTGGGTTCAAGCAGTTCTCTTGCCTCAGCCTCCCAAATACCTGGGATTACAGGGGTGCACTACCACGCACGGCTAATTGTTTTGTATTTTTAACTGACTTTCATCATGTTGCCCAGGCTGGTTTCGAACTCCTGACCTCAAGTGATCCGCCCACCAGCCTCCCAAAGTGCTGGGATTGCAGGCTTGAGCCACCGCGCCCAGCCAGAACACTATTTCTAGTTCACACGGGGCACTGTATGGGGTAGGGACAGCTTAGTTCTGCCCAAACAGTCCCATCAGGAGGGTGCAGGAGTCCAGCCATGGGTGTTCTTGAATCTCCTGCACCCCAGGGTCTCCCAGAGAATCTCAGAAGGTAGCTCTGGGTTTGCTATTAGTGGGGAGGAGGCGGGACTTACCAGGATCAGCTCCCCATCATTGGTCAGTTCTCTGGTCCAGGAGGTCTTGGGGCCCTCTCCCTTCAGGAGCCTCTGCTCACAGACCATTTTATTCTCACTCTCCCATTTCACCAGGCTCTGCAAGAGACACGTGGCCAAGTGGGCTGGGCCCATAGCAGGGGCAATGCAGTGACAGGGAGAAGAGAGAGGGGCCCTTTCTAGCCCCCACCACTACCTAGGGGCTTTCCCCGTGGGAACAGAGAGAAGCTAGGAAAGCCTGGGAAATGGCAGGTTGAGAGGCAGGGCAATGGTGCCACCACCTGGAGCCCCTCCTGGCACCCACCTTACAGGGCCTCCCATCCACGGTCTGCTCCTCAAACTCCTCCCCGATCTTGAAGTTAATCTCTGTGGTGCGCACGGTGGTGGAGGTTTTGATGTAGAAACTGTCTCCCTCCTGTTTGATCTCCACTGCTGGCTTGGAGGCTGCGGCCACAGCGATCTTCCTCAGCATCACATTCACCCCTGTGGGGAGAGTGGAGAGGCTCACCTTTTGGGGGGCTTTGGGCACCTCTCTCACACCCTCCCCGTGATTCAGTTGGAACAGGCTGATCTGTGACTCGCTTGGGGTGGGTGTGTTGGGGGGTGCATCTGCTTCATGCCTGGGTGTCCAGGAAGGTGCCTTGAAGGAGGTGGCACGTGGTACAGCCTGAAAGATGAGGGGGCTTAGGGAGGAGGGGCAGAGAGGCAGTGGCCTGCCCCTGGGAGCCCTGTTCCTAGCTGTGGCCCCACCGTGTTGAGTCAGCAGGCCTGGATCGGGCTCCCCACGTCTCAGCTCTTCAGTCCCGGAATGTCCAGAGGTGGCTTCTCTCCAGTCCTCCCTCCCCCAACAAACATCCTGCTACCGGCTCCCCTTGTCTCTGTTTGCCTCACTTTTGGCCTTTTGTCTACCCTGTTGACAGCTCATCAGAGTCACTGGGTCTACACCCTGCCCAAGCACAGGCCAGGCCCCCTCACTCATGTTCTGGGAAGTAGGGGCCACTTCCCCCCCTGCCTTAGCTACCCACCCTGTCTACTGCTAGAGAGGTCTTCATTTGCCCAATTTCTGCCTTTCCCCAAAATGAGGAGCAGGGATTCCCAGCAACGAAAGAGCAGGGCCAGCTCCTTCCCTCTACAGAATGGTGAGCAACCTGAGAAGACAGAGGTTCTGGAGTAAGGTCCATTAGGCTGTGACATCCTCCTGGCTCAGCTCCTTTGTAGGGTGGGTGACTCAGAGCAAATGGCTTAACCTCTCTGAGCCTTAGATTCCTCAGTCAGAAAATGGAAATAACAGCTTCTTCAAAAGCCAGTCACGGTCGGGCACAGTGGCTCACACCTATAACTGTAGCACTTTGCAAGACCGGGGTGGGTGGATTGTTTGAATTCAGAAGTTTGATACCAGCTTGGGCAACATGCCGGAATCCTGACACTACCACCACCACCAAATAGCCAAGGCCAGGTGAGGCGTCTCACACCTCTAATCCCAGCACTTTGGGAGGCTGAGGTGGGAGGATCATGAGGTTAAGAGTTCAAGACCTGCCTGACCAACATGGTGAAACCCCGTCTCTACTAAAAATACAAAAATTAGCCAGGCATAGTGGTGCGCCTGTAATCTCAGCTACTCAGGAGGCTGAGGAAGGAGAATTGCTTGAACACGGAAGGCAGAGGTTGCAGTGAGCCAAGATCGTGCCTTTGCACTCCAGT